ATTCTGCACCCATTTTAGGAATCCAGTTCCGTGGAGATATATCCTGGCCTAGCTAATAATAGAATCATAGAATAATGGAAGGGGCCTATAAAGTAACTGAGTCCAATAGAGAAATCTAAATCAAAATATATCTGACAGATGATTGTCTAATTTTCTCTTGAATATTGCCAGGATTGGAATGCTCACCACCGCCTGGGGTAATTGGTTCCACTGTCATACAGCTCTAACAGTTTCTCTTACTGCCACTTCTTTCATCAAATCATCTCTATTAGTTAGAATCAAATCTTTTAGTTTCTTCTTCCATTTTTTGTAGAAGAAAATTATCAGCTGCACAAGCCAGGAATTTCTTGGGAGGGTCATATTTAGCAGAATTTGCAACCCCCAACAGTTATCAGAATAATTTAAGTCTCTCATTACTACTACACTGTTTGTTTTTAATTCTTGCAATTTGTTTTTCAAAAGTTTCATCCACAACTTTGGTTGAGTGGTTAATAGTAGACTCCATCTAATGTTCCTTTTGTTTTTTGCTTCAATTATATTAGTACAGATGCTCTTGATGAGACAACTAAACTTATCTTACTGCATTTCTGTGCAAGAATATATTTTTGACATATAGTGTCACTCCACCTATTCTTTTTGTTATTTCAAACAATTTCTATCCTTCAACTGCTGTATTTCAGTCACGGAAGTTATCCCACCAAGTTTCAGTTATCCCTGTCAGGTCATATTTCCCTTTCTGAACTAAGATTCCTAGTTCTTGTTTGTTTCCCATGCTTTTGACATTTGCAGATAGTGTGATTTCTTGCTTGCTTTGTACATTTTTATGAAGATTATTATTGGGCCCCATTAGAACAGCTGGCTCTGTTCCTCTTACTGTGCATAAACCTTCATATATTTTCACCTCTGAGTTTGTATCTCCCTCCCCCTTTCAGTTCAGTTTAAAGCTCTCCTGATGGAACTCTTCATGCTGTGGCAAAACACATTCTTCACAAGGACTTGATTTCTAGTCCTTGTTAGGTACAACCCTTCGCTTGACAACAGTCCATCTTCTTGGAAGCTTAGCCCATCGCCCAAAAATCCAGATCCCTCACATCAGCATCATCTTTGTAGCCAGTTGTTCATTCCATGTATTTTCCTTTCCATTCCTCTTCTGAGTACTTGTGGGACAGACTGAATATTTCAAAAGACTGTCTCCACTAAATGGGATGGGGGCTGTTCCCATGAACAGCAGGTCTACCTCTACCATTCTTATTCCAACTTTGATTTTTTTTAGTATTATTTTGCATATTATATCCTGAAAGAGAAGACAGATCCATAAGGATCTCCAGAGTTGGGAATCTTGTGACAATAACTGCAGATTGTCATATACAGCAAGCTGAACAAGTAGATCAAGCAAAGTTATGCTACATGCCTGGAGTGCCAGCCCAAATCTAGTGCACCTGGAATGGACTGAGAAATGAAGACTATTCACTGAAAAAATGGACAACAGGCCTTGTTGGAGTCATAATTACATCTGTGGTTCTCCTGGAGGCCAAATCAAAGTCAACAAAGGACTGAGTCACTCATAGACCTAATATGTTTCATCATGCAAAGCCATGCTTGGATGGAAAATTCGATGAATGCACATATCTAATCAAAGCAAGGTGAACCTGCATCACCCTACATTTTCAGATAAAGCCTGAGAGTCAGTTAACCCAGTTACTCTTGGCTAGCTTGTGGTTGAACTTATCTTGCTCTCAAGAGTTAAGCCTTACCTTGAAGTTTAAACTGAGCCCGTCCCCCTGGATGCAACTTCACTTCCACTGAAAAAGATGTATGTCTTTGCATGGGGAGAAAGAGTAAGAGGAGACAGAGGAGGGCCTCATTGGCTTTCCTAAGCTACCCTTTAATTGCTCCTACTTACCTGTATTTTATTTTAACTAGACTAATATTCTTAGAGTTGTTGATGTCACTACCTACTTCTCCCTCTCTGGTAGAGGAGAGATGAGACTTCTTGCCCTTGTTTCAAGAGGGGAGGAGGCAATTGTGGCTCCCTGTATCTCCATCTTAGATGGCTCGAACCAAGATTGCTATTATCTTCCTTATCTTCAGTGTATTTCTCTAGTAGATACTAGCTCTCTTATTTTTCTCAAAAAGAAGTTTGAATATGATTTCTTTCCAGAGAAGAAAATATTCTGTGTTACTGTGTATTGTAACAGCCACCCTCAAACCTAAAAGAGTGGTTGCTACTTTACTTTAAAACTCTGCTGCCACCAACCTATCTTTTAAATCAAAAAGGACTAGGGTTTCTCTGAAACAAAACAGGTTTATTGATTCACAAAATAAAATAAGTAAATCACCAGATGATAATCAATTTCTCTCATTCACTGAACTCACTAACACACAGCTTCTAACTCTCACTGACTTTCTGGTACACTTTCTCACAGACTCACAGAACTCCCTTCATACATCATACACCCCCTTTTTATAACCCAGCCACTCCCCCTTTAGCACTACCTTCCGTTCCCTCATTGGCTCCTTTTCCACTGCTCAGCTGTGACGGGCAGGTGAGGGCAGGGCTGACCGTTACACCGTATTTTCCCGAAAATAAGACAGGGTCTTATATTAATTTTTTGCTCCAAAAAAAACGCATTGGGGCTTATTTTCAGGGGATGTTTTATTTTACAGTCATGTCATCTTCTGGTTGCTGCACAATGGTGGAGGGCGGGGTTTCAACAGTAAGCAGGTGTACATATGAACGATGATGATGATAGAAAGAAAACTGAGGTCCAACACTTAAAATTTTCAGGATTTGATCAAAAAGGGGGGAAAAACTCCTTCATGCCCTTGCACAATCTGTATGGAGGGAGGAAAAAGGGGACTCCTATCAGATTTTTCCCGCCAACTTCTAATCTAATAATTCAACAATATTTTTGAAAAAGAAGTGAAGCCACATATTGGAAAATGATGGGGAAATGAACAACCATCTCTCCCTCTCCCACAAAGCCATGCTTTTCTCTCAGCCACCCACATGCAAGGCTCTCAGGCCAAACCCCAAAACATTCCTAGATGAAGTAAGGATCTATTGAGGCAACCCAGATTAGGCATTGAGCTTTCGTTCATGCTTTCGCTGCTGAAGCAATCTCACAGTTATATAAATTAAGGGGGGGGGAGGATCAAGGAAACCCTTATTTCAATGCTCTAGCAATTGATTATCCCACTGGAAAAAGTCTGAAAGAGGACTCCAGAATCCAACTTGATTCCATCCATCTGATCAAGAAACCATTCTGGAAGTATGGAGCTGCCAAATCTGGAGCGGAATCTAGTCGAGGTCGTTTATTTACTTCTTTCCCTAAAGAACTGATGCCGACTCAGCTACAGGTTTAGAACCTCATTCATCCGTGTTTATTGTGGCAATCTCCTGGAAACAGCCTTTTCCTCCAAGCCTTTAGAGGAATCTGAAATTGGGTTCCGTCATACTCTTGAAACTGAGAAGAACAGTGAAGTTGCTCAGGAAAGAACAACCTTTACCTCACTTTTACACAGTTCAGTAATAAATTAAGGCTCAGTTTGAATTGTAGACTCTGCATTCACACACACATGTACATCTGCACAAGCACACAGCCATCTTGTCTTGTGGAACACACCAGAAGCTAATCTGGAGTGTTATTTTTTGCACTGGATACCCAGTTTACAGCTAAAAGTAATAACTATATATTGATATTCTTTATGCTACTGCACTTTTTAAACTATAATTTTTGAACAGACTAGGCAGTCTTGACAGAATATGAACACTAAAGTGGACTGCAAGATATACTGTAGGCAGAAAACTGTCCTTTTAGTTTTTCCTCATGCACTTCCTCACCCAGCACTATGAAAGGTTAACTATTTTGTTGGTTTAACAATTCACACTTTTAGCACATTTCTCAAGTGTGCTAAAAGGGAATGAAAGGGCGATGCCTTAAACAGTCTCCCGCATTAAAGTAAGTTCCACTTTAACGTAAAAGTTGTTTTCCCAAGACTACATATTTGTGATTTTATATGGTGCTATTGAAAACCAGCCTAGAGATTGGCCTTGGAAAATATATATTATTGGGACAGCAAGAGGACTCATTGCATACATGAACTGCATTATCCTAGATGTTTCCTTGGAGAACTACTGATTGCTCTTGGAAGCTTTCATTTTAATCACTAGAAGCTTTTTAATTCACTCTGGTTTGAGAAAATGAGATACAGATGTAAATTCTGCAAAGCAAAGACATTTCTTGAAGAGATTTTTAAATCTGGGAGGGGTGTCCCCCCAATAAATGGAAATACTCTTCAATTGTGCAGGGCACCTGTTTTTAAAGGAGCATTACTAGTATGCTACTGACTTTTCTTCGTATGATTTCAATGAAGGGAAGTCAGGCGGGGGGGTAGGGTAGGGAGGAGAAGAACTTTGTTAGATATACGGAAAGGGGTCTGGTTCTTGTCGGCACAAGAGACACCCAGGTGTTTTCAAAGCAGCCCCAGCACTGGGCCCTTCTGGAGCTGATCTCAATTTCTGTTTGCCAAACTACACTTTCAAGAGGTGTCAGGTATCGAGAACTCTTTCTAAATGCCAAAGCAAGCATTGAAGGAAGCTTTTTAAAAAAAAGTGGAAAAGAGTGGTGTTGGGGGGGGAGGGGGGAGTTCCTTCTTGAAGAAAAAGGTAGTTGTTCCAACTTGGCTGTTTCTTTTTAAAATAATTAGTTAAACAGTGTATAAAAACAGGTAAGTCTGTTCTGCACTGCTCAGGGATTTGGCAGCCCTCCCTCCCTTCCTTCCTTGTGTTAGTAAAATTTTTGTGAACCACCAGTTCACAGGACAAGGGGAAGGAATTGTATCACCATGACCTAAGGCAACCCAGCTTGTAAGGTAAACCATAATTTTTTAAACCAACATGACCTCTCTGTTAACCCTTTCACTTTAAGCTTTAAAAAGTGAGAGAAGCATGTTTACAAAACCACTGTGAAGAATGGCGGAGACGGGGGTGGAATTACCTGTCAAGAACCTCTCCAGCTCTTTCTTTCCTCTCAGCTTTTCTCCCCAGCTCTGCCGACATCTGGACACAGCGCCCACTTAAGATCAATATTTTGGTTGAAGACTTGACTTTCTAATGAGTCATGGAATGCAAAACAAAGCTATTTTAAGACAGCAGCGACTAATTTAATCTATGATGGCAAACAAAACCAGCTGGGAACATTTGTGGATTAATAAATAAATATTATAGAAATGCCAATACCTATAACTGGACTCGCCATTTTTTTTCTTCTTCTCATAATACCAGAATAGTAGACTAATCCACTGAAGGGAAATTATAGGAGATTCATGAGAAAACAAACAAACAAGCAGTTCTTCACACAGTATTCTGTTAATCTATGGCAAATTTTGCCACAAGATGCGGTGACAGCCATCAATTTAGACAATTGTAAAAGGGATTACACAAACTCATAAAAATAAGATTATCAGTGGTTACCACTCAGGATAGCTATGTATTCCTTACAATTTCAGAAGCAGAATGTTTCTCATTAGCAGTTCTTGAGAATCATGAGCAAGAGAATTCTCCCTGTACTGCTTTGGGCATCACTTCAAAAACTGCTTGGCTGTTGCGAGAACAGAATGCTGGAGCTGATTTTTGCTGCACGATAGTACATCTATGTTATTGTGAAGCAGAGGAAATCAACACTTCACAAGGCAATTCTAAAAATGGGAATGGCCCAAACCAAAAATTAGAACTTTGAAACTGAACTATAGATCTGTACCACATTTGGCACAGGTATAGCAGTCTGCTCTTACTCTGACAAAGTTGGGGAAGGTTGGGCAAAGGATTTTTGAGTTATGATTTTTTTAAGTAAAACTATTTTACCCCTGTACAAAAACAATGACCCTAAACATCCCCAGATTTAAAATAGCTCATATAAACTAAAAAGACCAAACTTACTTACCTTGAAGGAGTGCTTTTTAAAAAAAATAATGGAGTGGCAGTCCTCCATAAGCTGGGACAGTTTGCCACATATTAGCATACAATTTTGTAAATCACGTTCTAAGCATTTCTGCAGAGCACAGAGTCCTGAGTGCTTTCAGTAAACATTATTTTAGGATCTATGACACCAGGATCCTGACACAAGTCTTCAAAGGGAAATCAGCTCCAGGTTTGGAGCAATCTGAACTTTTGAACCTTAAATCAGGACCCAACTGAATTTTTAACTCCTGGTCAAACATGAATTTGTGCTTGCAAAGGTACTCTGTGTCTAGTTGTCTCAAGATTTAAAAATATATTTTAAAAAGAATAGAGAACAAATATTTAGAAGCTCATTCATTTAAGCTGTGAAATTACTGATTTTTGCTTTGTGGCTGAGGATGCTCTTACTTGATGTTAGCAGGGCTTTGGTGCCCATATCCCATCATAGTCTCAACCATTCCACCTGCCTTGTAACTGTCCAATTGTTTGGTAATTAAGAAGAAATCTCAAAAAATATATGCCATCAAGTCACTACTGATGTGTGATGACTATATAATGACCTCTAGAATGTCCTATAATTAACAGCTCTGCTCAGATATTGCAGATCTATAGCATCTCATGTTGGATTTATTCTCTCTTCCTACTGCTCACCTCCCTTTCTAGGAATATTGTTTTTTTCCATTAAGTTCTGCTCAGATCTTGCAAACTAACAGCTGTGGCTTCCTTTTTTGGAAAATAAGTCTCTTCCTCCTTCTACCCACTCCCCACTTGCCCCATCAATATTGTCTTTTTAACAGTGTCCAGGAATGCATTTGCACAATTAAACTAGTACACCAGTTGTGTCCATTCTTGGAGGGGTCTGATCTGGCTACGACGGCACATGCCTTAGTTACATCCAAGATAGATTACTGTAATGTACTGTGTGGGTCTGCCTCTGGAAAGTGTCCAGAAACTTCAGGGGGTCCAAAATGCAGCAGCCAGATCGCTAGCTGGGTCTGGTCATAGGGTCATAACCCCCTCTTGCAGCAGTTTCATTGGCGGCTAATCTGCTTCTAGGCTGAATTCAAGGTTCTAACTTATAAAGCCCTACATGGCTTGGGTCCACACTATCTCAAGGATTGTATCTCCCTTTAGGAACCTGGTTGAGTGTTAAAATCATCAGGAGAGTCCTTTCTCTTCGTCCTGCCACCTTCACAGGTGCAATTGGTCTCTTTCGCTACCTCCAGACTTCGGAATTCCCTCGTTCAGCAAGTTAGGCTGGCCTCATCTTTGCTATTGGTGGGTACGTCTCTTTCGCTACCTCCAGACTTTGGAATTCCCTCCCTCAGCAAGTTAGGCTGGCCTCATCTTTGCTGTCCTTCTGCAAGATTTCCCTGACTGACTGGCTGCCTGAGTGGGGTTTCTAAATGGATTGTTGTACCTTACTGCTTTCAATGTGTTTTAGTGTTGCTTATATTTTTTTAGCATGGTATTTGATTGATTTCTTTGCATTTGTATTTGTATACTCACTGTTGTTAGCTTTAATTATATGTGCATGGTAGGATGGCTTCAGTTTACTCATATTTCTTCTATTGAGAGTTCAGGCTTAACTTGACTGAGCACCCACTTTTCTGAATTTCTGGCTGTCTTTAGTATCTCTACCAACACCACCCTTCAAATGACTTGATTTTTGTTCTTATTTTTCTTTTATGTAGTATGGACAATTTTGACCTTGGTTTCCAGTCATAAGCTTTGCTAATTCTGAGCCCTCCCTTTTTTCAATTTCAAAAGGCAAGGGAACATCTTTGGAAAAACATACACACTACATGTTCATAGAACGTTTGGTTTGATTTGTTTTTTTTTCCTCAGCTTGCCTAGCTCAAAGAAAGGATTTTAAAATTGGAACATAGCTTTCTAATCTGCATTCTGAAGAGCAGGCATGACAACATTAGTTTACCTGAGAGATTAAAGGATGTGTATGTGTTCCCTCTTTTGCTCACTACCATTCATACTTGTTGAAGAACAGCCCTGACAATTGCTTTGTGTTTAGGTGAGGAGTAGTTAACTGATGGAAAAAGAAGTCAAATTCTGGGATTTTACCTTGATTGGTAGTGAGAAGAAGAGAGTAACCTGTAGACCGTCTTGGCTGCTACCATTGGTGTTGCCAGCCAGGCTGCCATTTGCTATGTAAAGTCTGACATCCTTTTTTCTGCTGGCAATGTGGGCACAATATTGTGCAGCAATATCAGGCTATTTCCTGGAATTTTGAATTGTGAATAGAGAAGTGCAATATCCTACATTCTTAAACTGGAAGTTTTTTTTATGAAATCAAGAGACTTTTGTCTAATCTAGACAAGGCTATGCATAGCTTAAATGACTTTCAAAAGCTGATGGCTCTGAATTTGGAAGTCTCTAAAGTTCTTTTTTGTCAACATTTTAAACCAAAAGAAGACATGCAAATGTATCAGAAGCAAACTCCATGTTACCTAAATCTATATGGGGGTGCAGCTTTAACTTTTTACAAAGGCTAGAAAAACACTCATTTACCCCATGTATAGAACCAAGGTGTAGACTAGCAATGACAGGGGCTCCTTGTGTTACTAAACAGAAACACATATTCAGTAAATGAGAGGTTGGGTGGGACAATTTTACAGAATGAATTGAAATAGGAAAGTGGTAAGCAGTAAAAGAATGCATATATACACAAACTGTCTTTTCCAAACCAATCCTCCCAACACAGTTATTCTGCAAAAGTGCAGTCATAGAAATGCTGGAAGTTGCCTTTTGGCAAATTAGGTAAACAGTGGACCCTCTAACATAGCATCATTGGCTTTGGCCCTGTAGTGTATCAGACAGTGCATTGGGTCTCAAGGGTTCACCCAGTCATATCGAAAGGTAACAGGAAATGGAACTTGGGAAGCCTTGCATGCAAAGTATGAGCTACAGTCTCCTCCAGCAGAATGAGCAGGAAGGCCCAAGGCACAGCAAGGACTTGCTTTCCACATTTTGAAATAATGAATGATATGTTGCTATTGAAAGAATGTGATACCAACCCAGCCCAGTCTAAAATCATCTAAAGGCAAGATTACTTCCATGTCAGTCCTCCTAACAGATATATCTGTGTAACATGAGGTTTTCTCTTCATTCCACAGAGGCAGCTATCATAGTTCAAAGAATATGTTTGTTGCCACTCTGCCAAAACAAACTGGGAAATAAAGTTTACAGATAATCACTATTCTTCCTTTTTTATCTTCAAAAAGCCTCCTTAATAGCAAAAGTTCCAGCCAGAAAACCAAGCCAAGCTTGGCTTCTACCAAAGGGGCATTTTTGTAATTAACTGAAGCTTGTGCATGGCCTGAGATTAATGTATACAGTCCCCACTGAGAATAATAGAGTGATGAATCACTGGGGTTCTCTATTGATCCCAGCAACCCCATTCCTTCTGGCTTCAGTCCCAAAGAAAGGCACTGGAAATCTATCTCCTTCATCGCTGAGGTCACACAGAGCTGTAAACACGCTGCTTGCTAAACAGCAGAGCCTGCAAGGGATGCAATTTGGTGGGATGTCATCCTTCACGTTGCTGAAAACTGGGTTTAAGAAAGCGGGGCCATGTTCTGTGTATGGTTTGGTGATGTTCCAGTGAACACCAATCCCCCTTTTTTGCGGGGATAGGTGTTCTTCTAAGCTTTTTTCTTCCCATTCTGTTTCTTTTCTCAAAACCACAGTTTGCAACCTCATGTTCTGGCTTGTTACACAACCATTACCTAGTCAAATACTGTAACCCCCTCACATTCCAGGCCTAAATGCACCTATATACCAGCCTTCTCATTTTACCCCACATCTTCCAGCCTCTTTGCTCTCTACTGCCTGATCTAGACTCTTGTCTAGATTAGCCATTTCTCCCCCATCTTCCCCATATACTTTCCAGAAACTCAATTTACCACTCAGCATTCTGGTTGTTATATTTTTAAACAAGGGGTTGGAAATCTCACATGCATCCAACTGCATGCCTTTCCTCCCAAGCACTCTTCCCCCCCACCCACTTTACTCAAGTTTACAGCACACTGTTTGGAGAAATACAGGGAGTCATTGACTGGCCTTCTCCTCATCTCTTTGATTAAGAGGCTGACTACAACGGTGTTTAAGCCTGCTGTTTGGTCTGCTGCAGGAAT